GCAAGAAGGCTGATGTGGAGAGAGTCTCCGTGGTCTGGGTAGAAGACCAAACCTGCCCCAGCATTCCCTTAAGCCAAAAGCCTAATCCAGAGCAAGCCCTAATGCTCATCAGTTCTGTGAAGGCCGAGAGAGGTGAGGAAGCCACAGAAGAAAAATCTGAAGCTAGCAGAGGTTGGTTCAGGAGGTTTAAGGAAAGAAGCCTTCTCAATGACATAAAAGTGCAAGGTTAAGCAGCAAGTGCTGAGGCTGCAGCAAGTTCTCCAGAAGATCGAGCTAAGTAATGAAGGTGTCTACACTCAGCAACAGATCTTCAGTGTAGATGAAATAGCCTTCTATTGGAAGAAGACGCCAGCTAGGACTTTCATAGCTGGAGAGAAGAAGTCAACGCCCGGCTTCAAAGCTTCAAAGGACAGGCTGACTCTCTTGCTAGGGGCTCATGCAGCTGGTGACTTCAAGTTGAAGCAAATGCTCATTTATCATTCTGAGAATCCCAGGGCCTTTCGGAATGATGCTAAGTCTACTCTGCCTTTGCTCTATCAATGGAACAACAAAACCCGCTTGACAGCATATTTGTTCATGACATAGTTAACTGTAGAGACCCACTGCTCAGAAAAAAGGATTCTTTTCAAAATATGTCTGCTCATTGACCATGCACCTGGTCTCCCCAGAGCTCTGGTGGAGATGGGCAGTGAGATGCATGTTGTTTGCCTGCCTGCCAACGCGACAATCATCTGCAGCCCATGAGTCAAGGAGTCACTTTGACCTTCAAGTTTTATTATGTGAGAAATCTATTTTGTAAGGCTCTAGCTGCCAAAGATAGTGATTCCTCTGATGGATCTGGGCAGAGGAAATTGAAAACCTTCTGGAAAAGATTCTCCCTTCTACATGCCATTAAGAACATTCATGATTCATGAGGTCAAAATATCAACACAAACAGGAGTTTGGAGGCAGTCAATTCCAACCCTCAAGGCATGACTCTGAGGGGGGGTCAAGACTCGAGTGGAGGAGGTCACTGCAGATGTGGTGGAAATAGCAGGAGACCTAGAATCAGGTGGAGCCAAGAAATGGGATTGAATCGCTGCGATCTCATGATCAAACTTGAATGGATGAGGAGTGGCTTCTTGTGGATGAGCAAAGAGCGTGGCTTCTTTTTTTTT